CTTTTACAGTCCACCAATATGGATGACAAACTTTGTAAAATTGAGAGATGATTTGGCAAAAATGGACTGGTTATGACTACTTGAATGAAAGACAGTGGCAAATTGGTGGAAGGCATTCAAAGTGAGATTCTATGGGTATTGTATAGATAAGTCCCCACAAAGAATAAGGGAGATGCTGCCCATTCTAGTGTTCTCTATCTATCTATCCAGAAGCATTCACGATAACAAGATAAAACAGAAAAATAGAGCTTCTAATAATCTCAAGACAAGTAATATGTTAGTAAACTTGAGAGTATAGAAAGTGCAAGCATGAAATGAAAAAACGTAGGAAGTAAAGAAAGGATACAAAAGTATACTATCTGATAAAAGTAAGGGAAATCCAAAGATGGTTTATCAGTACATTAAGAACGAAACGATAACCTAAAAAAGGGTCGGATCTGCCAGAAATGTACATAGTAACTTGTGCATACATGCTGAAAATTTGGGCAGGATTCTAATTTAGTATTTTGCCGTTTTTTTTAACAAAGGAGAGGGATGACAAATTCTATTAATGAGGATGATGGTGAACTGTTAGATAAAATAATCTAATAATAATAAAATGAGAAGGGAGGTACTGGAGGGACTGACCTCCTGGAAAGTTGATAAATCACCAGGGCCAAATAAATTGCATCCTATGCTGTGAAAGGAATCCAAAGAAGGAATAGCTGATGCTGTACGGATCATCTTCCAATCCTCACTAGATATAGGTAAGATACCAGAGGATTAGAGGTCTGCAAATGTTGTGCCATTATTCAAAATGAGTGCGAGGGATGGGACAAATAATTATTGCCTGATCAGTCTGATCACAGTTGTGAGCAAATTACCACAATCAATATTGAGATGTAGAATTACCTGTTACTTAGAAAGACAAGGATTAATCAGGGATGGTCAGCATTTTTTTTCAGGGAAGGTTGTATCTTACTAACTTAACTTTTTGAGGAAGTAATAAGGAGGATTGATGAGGGTAGTGCTATAGATGTTGTCAACTTGGGTTTTAGTAAGTCCTTTAACAAGGTTCTATATGACAGACTATGAAGAAAAATTAAAACCTATGGGATACTAAGGAATCTGATGAGTTGAATCCAAAATGGACTCAGTGAGGGGAAATAAGGGTAATGGTTGACGGAAATAGAAAGTAAGAAATGTATGAAAAGAATGCAAATAGAAAGTGGGTCTCCACAGGGCTCATTATGGTATCCCTTGCTGTTTGTGATATAATTTAATTTAGACTCGAAGATAGGGGTTTGATTGGAAAATTTGCAAACCACACAAAAATTGGCTGGATAGTTGATAGTGAAGAGGATAGCTGTTGACTGCAGAAATTGACTGTATTCCAAACAATGGTTTGGTTGAATGGGCAGAAAAGTGGCAAATGGATTTCTTCACTCCAGAGAAGTACACGGTTATTAATTTGGAGAGGACAAACAAAGAATGGGAATGAACAATAAATCAGGAAGGCTTTGGCAGGGGTCAAGGAAGTGCAAGATTTTGGAGTGCATATCCATAGGGTGCTGAAGGTGGAAGGACAGTAGGTAAGGTGGTAAACCAGGAATATGAGATACTTTCTTTCACTGTGCAAGATATTGAAAACGAGAGCAGGGATGTAATGTTGGAGCAACGTAAGACACTGGTTAGGCCACAGCTGGAGTTTTGTACACAGTTATGGTCATCCCATTACAGGAAGCACATAATTGCTTGAGAGAGTACAGAGGCGATTTACAAACATGTTGTAGGGCTTTAAAATTGCAGGAATGAGGAATGATTGGATGGACTAGATTGCCTTCCTTAGAGTAGATGAGATCAGGGTGACTTAATCAAATTGGACAAACTAATGAGGGGCTTGAATCACGTGGACAGGGAAGACATGTTTCCCCTAGCAGAAAGGTCAATTGTCACGGAGCGCATGATTGGTAGGAGATTAGAGTAGACATGAGGGACAACATATTCACCCAGAGAGTGCTGACTATTTGGATTTTGCTGCTCAGTGTGGTTTTCTGCCTCAACCACCAAATTCAAGGGGAACCTGGATCTGCACCTGAAGTACTACAACCTGTAGGGTGACAGACCAGGTCCTGACAAATGGAAATGGAGTAGGCAGCTAGTTTATGCATCTAATGCAGATACAATGGGCAGAATGGCCTATTTACATGTTGTAACTTTTATGTAGTTCTTTCTGAAGCAGCCTGACCAGTACAAGATTAAGGAATCATAGAAGTTTCCAGGAGGATGAAATGGCAGCTATCTGGAATGGAAATGCACATACAAAGGCATCTTTTGGTGTGGTCACACACTAGGTGGGCATTGAGAAAGTGGAAGCCTTTCCTGCTGATGGATCTCACTAACTATTCAGTTTCTGGTCAATGGTAAAACTAATTATGTTTACAGCTGAGGATTCAGTATGGCAATGCCATTGAATGTCAAAGAGTGATGGTTAGATTCTCCCTTGTGGGAAATGATCATTGTCTGGCACTTGTGTGGTACAAGTGTGCTACATGCTGCTTTTCAGCCCAAGGCTGGGCAATGTCCAGGTTTTACTGCATATCTGCTTCAGCATCAGAGAAATTTCAAATTGGTAATTGCACAGCGTTTAGCACAATGAACGTCCCCACCTCTAACTTGCTAATGGAGGAAGATCATTGATGGAACAGCTGAAGATGGGCCTTGAACATTAGATGACGTATAGCCTAGGACACTACCTTGAGGAATTCCTACAATGATTGAGATGATTAACTTCCAGCAATTCCACCATCTTCTTTTGTGTTAGATTTGACACCAGCCCAATGGGGGAGGTGATGGCCTAGTGGTATTATCACTAGACTATTAATCCAGAGACATCTCGGTAACATTCCGGGGATCCAAGTTCAAACCCCATCATGGTACTTGGTGGAATTTGAATTCAATAAATGTCTGGAATTAGGAGTTTAATGATGACCATGAGACTATTGTCAGGGGAAAAACCCATCTGGTTCACTAATATCCTTTAGAAAACTGAGATAAAGGAAACTGCCATCCTTACCTGGGCTAGCCTACATGTAACTCCAAACCCACAACAATCTTGCCGGTTGCCCTCTGGGCAATTAGAGATGGGCAATAAATGCTGGCCTAGCCAGTAATCCGCACATCCTGTGCTTGAATTTAAAAAAAATGAGTTCTCCCATTGATTCCAATTTTGCTAGGGCTCGTGAATGAAACAAAAGCCAAAAGAACTGCGGATGCTGTAAATCTGGAACAAAAACAGAAGTTGCTGGAAAAGGTCAGCAGGTCTGGCAGCATCTGTAAAGAAAAAAAATCAGAACTCTGAGGAAGGGTCACTGGACCCGAAACGTTAAATTTGATTTTTTGTTTTATAGATGCTGCCAGACCTGCTGAGCTTTTCCAGCAACTTCTGTTTTTGCTCCTGCATGAAACACCTGCTCGAAGGTCCCATCATGTCAAGGCAGTCACTCTCACCTCACCTCTGTAGATCGGCTCTTTTGTCCATATTTGGGATGTGGAAATAATAGGGTCATGAGCTGCACGGCCTTCGCAGAACCCAAACAGAGCATCAGTGAGCAGGCACTTCTTTTGCATGTGGCATTTGATAGCATTATTGATAACTCCTTCCAACGCTTTGCTAATGGTCATGATAGAATGATAATCAACTGTGTTTGATTGGTACTGCTTTTCCTGCAGATGAGATAACTTGGCAATTTTCCACATTGTCAGAATAGGGTCCCATAGGGGTCACTGTCAGGGCCCTTGCTGTTTGTGGTTTATATAAATGATTTAGACTTGAATGTAGTGGGGGGTGGGGAGGGGTTGATCAGTAAGTTCACAGACAATTAAAAAATTGGTGCAGTATTAAATAGTCAGGACTACAAGAGGATATAGACAACCTTGTCAGATGGGCTAATTAGTGACAAATACAATTCAGTCTGGATAAATGAGAGGTGATACACTTGTGTGGGGCATACAACGCAAGGAAAGATGTGACGAATAGTAGGACCCTGTGAAGCACTGAGGATCAGAGGGTTTGGTTTGCACGTACAGTGGTCCCTGAAGGTATCAGGACAGGTAATTAAGAAACCAAATGAGATATCTGCCTTTTTTAGTCGAGGCATAGACTTGAAAAGCAGGGAGGTTATGCTGGAACTGTATAAAATCTTGGTGAGGTCACAGTTCTGGAATCCGCATTAAAGGAGGGATGTGATAGCTTGGGAGAGGGTGCAAAGATTTACCAGCATGTTGCCAGTGTTGAAGGGTTTCAGTTATGAAGAGAGATTGGACAGACTGGAGTTGTTTCCCTTAGAGCAGATGAGAATCAGAGGAGATATGATTGAGATGTATAAAATCAAGAACAATAGACAGAAACTGTTCCCCTTGATGGAGGGATCAATGACGGAGGGCATAGATTTACGGTATGATATGAGGAAAAACCAAGAGGGTGACGGGAATCTGGAACTCACTGCCTGTAAGGGTGGTAGAGGCAGAAATTCTCATAACATTTGCGAAGCATTAAGATGTGCATTTGCAATGCCAAGGCATTCAAGGCTATTTACCAAGTGCTGGAAAATGAGATTGGAATAGTTAGGTGGTTGTTTTTGAATGGTATGGATGCGATGGGCCAAAGAGCTTTTTCCTGTGCTGTGGATGTGTGTCTCTAATTTGATTTCTATTTTACTGTAACAGCCATAAAAGGAAATTAGGGTACGAAGTTGAACAAATGTTTAAAAGAGGGATTATCATTTTAAGAAAGCAACTAGTCCTGAACTTAAATTGGAGTAAAGAAAATTTTAACAACTAGGCATCATGCAAACAAAAGAAATGCATTGTAAGTTATCATTTCTTCAGTTTGTAACAGCTGTATATTCAATGTTGAAACTTGTGCTATTTATTTCAAGAGAGCAGACAAAGTACAAAGGTTATATGACTTATAAGACAAGGCCATGATCGGTATTAATTAATTATTTGTGCAATTCTAGTCGGCACATCAGGAATGCAAAGGATAGACAATTCCACCATTCGGACTTACTCTTGCTGACAGCCAGGGAAGTTGAAACAGCATTATTTTGAGGTAAATGTTATTCTCACTCTTTCTTTGTTACGTTAACGAAATCAAGAGCATACTTAAACTTTATTGGAAGAGCAACCATTTACATTTATGAGTAATATTTTACAAAGTGCAAGAGCTTGAGCAATTACTGTTATTGGTTTACATGAACATAACTTGATCCTGGTATATACACTGGCTTCAATTTCAGTAGCTAATAGATGCAGTCGCAAATTAATAACGTTTGAGCAAACTCTGACTTCAGTATTTGTATCGGTTTTTGACACTGGTCTAATGCCTGTCTTACATGAATTGGGAACTAAATTGGATAGTGTGTAATAATATGTTCACATTAACATTATAAACTGAAATAAGGCAAAGAGCCACATAAACAGATGTTAGGGAAAATGACCAAAAGCTTGGTGAAAATGTTAGGTTTTAACAATTAACTTGAAGGTTGAACGATTACAGAGATGCAAGAGGTGAATTCCAGGAATAAGTACCCATGGCAGAATGGCCACCAAAGATAGACTGATTAAAAGTGGGATAAAACTGCAAATGGTGAAGATGGTGAAGATCTAAAACAAGAACAGAAATTGCTAGAGATACTCAGCAGGTCTGGCAACATCTGTGAAGAGAAAGCAGCGTTAATGTTTCAAGTCCAGTAACTTTTCTTCAGAACTGATAATAGCTAGGAAAAGGTGGAATGTATACATTTATTATGCATTAAGCAATTTCTGTTTTTGATTAAAATTGGAAGTGGGTGGCACACATCACATGTCACATATCCCCTCTCCCCATCCAACAATCCATGTCTTCACTATTTTTGTATATATATGAGGCAGCATGGTGACTCAGTGGTTAGCACTACTGCCTCACAATGTCAGGGACCCAGGTTCTCGAGTGATTTGTGGAATTTTCCCCTTCTCCCTGTAACGGCATGGTTTCTGCTGTGTGCTCCGTTTTCCTGCCACAGTCCAAAGATGTGCGGGTTAGCTGATTGGCCATGCTAAAATACACCATACTGACCAAGGATTTGCAGGTTAGGTGGCAAAATGCAGTGTCATGGGGATAAGGTGGGGGCTGCTATCTGGGTCTGGTTGGGATGCTTTTCGGAGGGTTGGTGTTTCCACACTGTAGGAATTCTGTGCGCTAAGATGAGTCCCCAGTAGATGAGATCTACCTCAACATCTAACTAATATATAATGGATAGTCATGCAAAGTCAACTTTCTGTCTTGCAAATTCGGGATGTAGCTATCATGACTGTGCCAAGGGGCTTCCAGGGTGTTACAACTGCCACAGAACCTATCGTCTAACAAATTATGAGGATGGCTGAGATGTACCCCAGTGGGTCCGTAGAGCATATCCTATCATCTCTTGCTATTGTCCAGACTTGTCAGGGTCAGCGCCAGATTATAAGCATAGACTTTCCCATAATTGTTCCAGGCGACCATTTGCAGTCTACTGAAAGTTAGTAGCCTTTGAATAGCTATGCTGCAGCCACTGTGCTGACACAGTGTAGTAACAGTTAGACAAGCAAAGGCTAATCAAAAACATGTACTAGGAATGGCAAACGGTTGATTAGCCAACCTCTGCATGCAATATGGTATGATTTCATTCATAAATTTAGCCTATAATGTTTATTCTGTGGGGATGGTTTAAAATTAATAGAATGTAGTTTCCAAGCAGAAAATGTGATGGCATCTTTTTATTTTTCTATATTTTTGATTGTGGACTGAAATGTGAAAGGACTGTTTTAAAACCAAGCATTGTAGAAGTGATTAGTTCACTTTTTTAAAAAACAAGTTACCAGCACTTATTGTAAGTGCATTTTATACCGTCATTTGTTCATCCAGCAGGAGAGATTCAGTTGCAGACAAACTGGCACGAGGGAGTGTGTAGAAAAATGAGATTCAGCCAATCAAGCTTCTGATTGGTCTATGGAGTGGTGACCAGTGGTTGATGACAAAGGCCTTTTGCTTGCCAACAAATATGTGATTGGCTCCCAGGTAGCTAAACAGCTTGTGGGTATGAATAAAATAGCTGAAGCCATCAAAACTCCGGGCAGTAAAAACGCAAAGTATTTCCCTGACTAGTTGAGTTAAAGTTGTAACATTTGACCAAGAAATCAGAGAGAATAAAGAACAAAGAAAATTACAGCAAAGGAACAGGCCCTTCAGCCCTCCAAGTCTGCGCTGATCCAGATCCTCTATCTAAACCTGTATCCCTCTGCTCCCTGCCCATTCATGTATCTGTCTAGATACATCTTAAATGACGCTATCGTGTCCGCCTCTACCACCTCCGCTGGCAATGCGTTCCAGGCACCCATCACCCTCTGCGTAAAGAACTTTCCACGCATATCTCCCTTAAACTTTTCCCCTCTCACCTTGAAATCGTGACCCCTAGTAATTGAGTCCCCCACTCGAGGAGAAAGCTTCTTGCTATCCACCCTGTCTACACTTCTCATGATTTTGTAAACCTCAATCAGGTCCCCCCTCAACCTCTGTCTTTCTAATGTAAATAATCCTAATCTACTCAACCTCTCTTCATAGCTAGCACCCTCCATACCAGGCAACATCCTGGTGAGCCTCCCCTGCACCCTTTCCAAAGCATCCACATCCTTTTCGTAATGTGGCGACCAGAACTGTATGCAGTATTCCAAATGTGTTCGAACGAAAGTGCCATACAACTGAAACATGACCTGCCAACTCTTGTACTCAATACCCCGTCCGATGAATGAAAGCATGCCGTATGCTTTCTTGACCACTCTATCGACCTGCGTTGCCACCTTCAGGGTACAATGGACCTGAACACCCAGATCTCTCTGTGCATCAATTTTCCCCAGGGCTTTTCCATTTACCGTATAGTTCCCTCTTGAATCAGATCTTCCAAAATGCATCACCTCGCATTTGCCTGTATTGAACTCCATCTGCCATTTCTCCACCCAACTCTCCAACCTATCTATATTCTGCTGCATTCTCCGACAGTCCCCTTCACTATCTGCTACTCCAGCAATCTTAGTGTCATCTGCAAACTTGCTAATCAGACCATCTATACCTTCCTCCAGATCATTTATGTATATCACAAACAACAGTGGTCCCAACACGGATCCCTGTGGAACACCACTGGTCACAGTTCTCCATTTTGAGAAACTCTCTTCCACTACAACTCTCTGTCTCCTGTTGCCCAGCCAGTTCTCTGTCCATCTAGCCAGTACACCCTGGACCCCATGCCACTTCACTTTCTCCATCAGCCTACCATGGGGAACCTTATCAAACGCCTTACTGAAGTCCATGTATATGACATCTACAGCCCTTCCCTCATCTATCAACTTTGTCACTTCCTCAAAGAATTCTATCAAGTTGGTAAGACATGAACTTCCCTGCACAAAACCATGCTGCCTATCACTAATAAGCCCATTTTCTTCCAAATGTAAATATCCCTCAATATCTTCTCCAACAGCTTCCCCACCACTGACGTCAGGCTCACTGGTCTATAATTACCTGGATTATCCTTGCTACCCTTCTTAAAGAAGGGGACAACAGTAGCAATTCTCCAGTCCTCCAGGACCTTACCCGTGCTGAAGGATGCTGCAAAGATATCTGTTAAGGCCCCAGCTGTTTCCTCTTTCGCTTCCCTCAGTAACCTGGGATAGATCCCATCTGGACCTGGGGACTTGTCCACCCTAATATCTTATAGAATACCCAACACTTCTCCCCTCCTAATGCCAACTTGACCTAGAGTAATCAAACATCTATCCCTAACCTCAACATCCGTCATGTCCCTCTTTTCGGTGAATACCGATGCAAAGTACTCATTAAGAATCTCACTCATTTTCTCTGACTCCTCGCATAACTTGCCTCCTTTGTCCTTGAGTGGGCCAACCCTTTCTCTAGTTACCCTGTTGCTCCTTATGTACGAGTAAAAGGCTTTGGGATTTTCCTTAACCCTGTTTGCTAAAGATATTTCATGACCCCTTTTAGCCCTCGTAATTCCTCGTTTCAGATTGGTCCTACTTTCCCAATATTCTTCCAAAGCTTCATCTGTTTTCAGTCGCCTAGACCTTATGTATGCTTCCTTTTTCCTCTTTGCTAGTCATCCATGGATCCCTAATCTTGCCCTTCCTATCCCTCATTTTCACAGGGACATGTCTGTCCTGCACTCTAATCAACCTCTCTTTAAAAGCCTCCTACATATCAAATGTGGATTTACCCTCAAACAGCTGCTCCCAATCCACATTCCCCAGCTCCTGCTGAATTTTGCTAGGGTTGGCCTTTCCCCAATTTAGCATGCTTCCTTTAGGACCACTCTCATCTTTGTCCATGAGTATTTTAAAACTTACGGAATTGTGATCACTATTCCCAAAGTAATCCCCTACTGAAACTTCAACTACCTGGCCGGGCTCATTCCCCAACACCAGGTCCAGTATGGCCCCTTCCCGAGTTGGACTATTTACATACTATATAAAACCGGATGCTCCTTACAAATTCTGCAGCATCTAAACCCCTCACACTAGGTGAATTCCAGTCAATGTTGGGAAAATTAAAATCTCCCATCACCACCACCCTGTTGCTCCTACATCTTTCCATAATCTGTCTACATATTTGTACCTCTATCTCAGGCTCGCTGTTGGGAGGCCTGTAGTACAGCCCCAACATTGTTACCGCACCCTTCCTATTTCTGAGTTCTGCCCATATTGCCTCACTGCTCGAGTCCTCCATAGTGCTCTCCTTCAGCACAGCTGTGATATCCTCTGACCAGTAATGCAACTCCTCCACCCTTTTTACCTCCCTCTCTATCCCGTCTGAAGCATCTATATCCTGGGATATTTAATTGCCACTCTTGCCCTTCCCTCAACCAAGTCTCAGTAATAGCAATAACATCATACTCCCAGGTACTCATCCAAGCCCTAAGTTCATCTGCCTTACCTACTACACTTCTCGCATTAAAACAAATGCACCTCAGACCACCTGTCCCTTTGCGTTCATCATCTGCTTTCTGCCTACTCTTCCCCTTAGTCACA